GGGGAACGGGACTGCATATCCATGCTCCATCTAGATACATCCTCAGAGGATGTAAACCGTGATATCCAGTTCTACCTGGAAATCCAATTTGCAAGTATACGCGAGGATGCATTTCAGGAGAAGTGTAAAATGCTGGATGCCATCAATAAACTGACGGCACGGGCGAGCGGTTTATTCATTTGGGCTGCAACTGTTGCGAAATTCATCCTTGCATTTCCAGGGATATCAAGGCTTCAGGCTCTCCTAGCCACGGATATCCCTAGTGATGCGACCGAGGCTCTAACATTCTTATATCGCACTGCTTTGAATACTCTCTCGTCTGAAATCCCGGGTACCAATGCGGATATTAAAAAGTGTGTGCGTGATGTTCTCGGCGCTGTGCTGGCAGCCGAGACGCCTCCAGGGATGACAGGAAATCCTTGATAACATTGTCCTAGACCAAGGCAGCCCTCCGTCGCATCGCATCGTGTCTATGCTAGGAAGTATAATCAGTCCTGAAACTGAGGACTCGCCCATCCGACTCATACACAAATCCCTCGATGATTTCTTACAGGATCGGAGCCGATGTGGGGACGACTGGTTCGTTGATGTCACTTTGCACCGCGTGGCACTAGCCAAACGGTGTCTGACTTCATTGACACCTTTTCTTCTGGAATGGTCCAAAATCAATACACATGGCTCGGACATCATCGCTGTACCAGAGTATATTTCCCGATATGCATTGTTTGGAGTGTTGTGGCATATTAATGCCCTCGACGAGTCTGGCTTAGAACTCCTCGCTTCCTTTTTCCGCCGCCACTTTCTTCCTTGGTTGGATGTACATCTATGTGTTGGATCTGATTCTGTCCTTCAAAACATGGCGATGTTGCTGAACTGGTCTAACGTGCGTGGCTTGAAAGTGAGCTTTATTTCCCAATCTAAATCATCTTGGTCCTAGCAATTTGACGGCACTGAGCCTCGCACTTTATTCTACCACGCTTATCTGTTTGCGTACAGAGCAATAGAGGACGGAGGGCGATCTAGGTTAGGACCATCATATGTTTACACTCGCGTGATGTGTCTTTCACCGTCGAGTAATGTCATTCGCAAGACCTGGGACTTGGAGCAGTCCAATGTTTCGGGTGAACCTGTGTTCCCTGACAAAGAGCGCCTTCTCTCTTGCATGATAGGTGGCCGGCATATCTACTATTACACTCTTCCAGACACTCTCATGGCCTTAAGAACCTCATCATCATCCGTATTCATCCAGCAATGGGAGATCGATACGGGACGACAGAAATCATCGCCAGACATGCACCATATCATTCAAACTCCGTTTTTCAATAATCCCGAGTCTTATACCGTCTACACGTATGGACGGTTAGTACTCTTGTTTGAAAAAGAAACTTTGACACCTCCGCCGACATCAGAATGGATAATGCTACCCCAAATCCCCAACTATACTTCACAGGAGACCACCGCTACCGCTTTATGGCTTTACATTGGTCTCTTTGACTCCCGCACTCAAACATTCAAAACGTACCTATTATCTCTGCCTAACACTAAGGGCGTCTCAAGGGAAGTATATGACAATGGCATCATCCTCACACATAACGCTGGATTTTTTATGAAGATTACCATCTGTCAAGAGGACAGCTTTGTGTGGACATCAATTCCAGCATATTGAGAATTACAAATTAATCGAGATGGATCAACAATTCTATTGAGGCACCACGATGACACTATACAGCTATATGATGCATGGACAGGTGCTGCTGTCTTTGACTCCCTTCACAGTGATAAACACCTGGTTGGTGTCTCTGATGATGGCACAAAAATTGTGCTTCGTAGCAAGGAGGCTGATCGTGTGGTGAGCATCCTCGACATGGCTCTGGATGGGAAGGTCCTTGCTGTGATAGATGACCTGGACAACAAGGTCTCGTTCCTTGGAGAGTCAAAGATTGCTTATAAAGTCCGCCAATGCTTAATTGTTCAAAGTTTGGTGACAGGTAACATTCTATTTTGCCATGGTATTTCCAAATCTTCCGAGGAGATGAATTATTCTATACTTGCTACACCAGATGGAACGAGAGTCATCAGTCATGAACATCGTACATGTATGGTATGGGATGTTGAAGACTTATAGCATATCAATACCTATTTTTTAAGAGTGTATACATTTCAACCAGATGTTCACATTGTACAAAAATTTGGAAAATTTGAAAGGAATTGAATCATCATTGCCATTGTCCGTTCTTGTTAACAACACTCATCACTAAACACCAGGTTGAAATGGTACAGTATACAGCTGAAAGTTACGTCAACGATACAGTCAACCTCTGCTAGGAAGAATAACTGTAGTTAACGATCAGTATCAGTATAGAAATTATCCTCAATGATGGCTCCTCTGTCTCTCGCTCAACTACAACAGGTGCCGGCCCACCCCCTGTTGAAGTTCGAACACGGGAGGGAATGGAAGGAGCAACTCGTTTAGACCTAGTATGTCGACATGGTGGTAAACGGTAAAGAAATGAAAGGAACGGGTACGGTCCAGTTGATTCCTACGGCTCGTACATTCATCAGTGACCTCAATATCCCTATCCCCATCCCTGTTTTTCTTCTTCTCTCGCACATCGGTGGCTCTATATCCAGTTCTTTCGTCTTCTTTCCTGGACTCGTGGACGATTATCTCGACTACAGCGATATCAAGTGCTGGCAGTGGCAAATAGACGACCATCCCATCAAGAATCAGGTGTCTAGTGTGGAATCGGACGATTCTCTCACTTGTAGACTCTGTCTTCGTAGTGAAGGTCGTCATCAACACTTCGTGGTAGTAGACCCTCATCAGTGATTAGGCGACGCTGAACGCGATTTTTTTGGCAAGTCTTGGCTTTGGCAAAGGGGGTTGGATAATAGTTCCGACGCAGAGCAGCCTATATTCATCAGTCCAAGTAGTAGGGGCCGGGCGTCGACAGCTAAAGACTTTGATGATAACGCAAGCTATGTTTTATCTTTAGATCAGTTGTATCTGGAGGAATCAACAGACTTACCTTATTACTAGGGTACACACTCCCAATACGGTTTCCAATCAATTCCCTCCTGTCTACACGATGGCTCACATGTCGATCCACAGTCGACCCTCCCAAGCCTCGAGAGAAGCGTCAGCGTCTGTCGTGATGCGAGTTCAAATACCGAAGCTGAATTACTGGCTTCAATCGCAAGGCGAACGACCCTGAATCCACAGAAGTAACCGCGTTCCGCCTCGATGACGAGCTTGAGAGAGTGTGAGAGAGAAGGCGAGGAGAAATCACAACTAACTCACCATGTTCAGCTATATTCAGTCACCCTCGACGAGTACCGAATCCTGGAGTTCCGGAATACTACACAAAGACGTGTTATCTCGCGAAAACAAAGTGAAAATGGGCGACGTACCTGTGAAAACGCGGCTTGAGTTAAGCAAAGGTAACGGCAAAGATGGTAACATTCACCCGTTTGGTGTGTCATAACAAGCGATGAATTTCCGACGTCATTCCAGTTTGATTACTCCCTCCCCATCATCATCACCTCCTCATCCCGTCCACACATGACGATTCGCATCCAGTTCGGACTTCCTGTTGCAGGTCGACCCTTGGCAGCGATGAGCTCTCGTCAGTTTGAATAAGTAGCGTTAGGAGCGATTTTTGTGGCAGAAAAGGGGCTGCTGAGGTATATCACTGATGAACTGGTCACTGTCGACGGAGAATCAACGGACGTGCGCCTGAATGCTCTGAAATGTGTGTCCAGCATCAAATCAAGTGATTCTCGCCTTCCCTTGAAAGCACTAGTGGTACAGGCGGAGTCGTGCGTCGAAGGTATCATTGTCGAACTTTCCTTCTCGAGAATCGGGGAGATTAACGACAGTTTTGCAACAGCGCGTTGGCATCTTTGCTTGGCCTTCCCTTGTCTTTGGCGGCACTACCTCTCATTGTTCCATCCTGTTCTCAACAACAAGATCCCCTTCGCTTCCTGTCAGCATCGCCCTTGAGTTATACGATCGCATGTGCAAGTGCTCTGACGCCTTTCAGCAGCACAGTATACGGAGTGAGTCCAGTATCGACCTGGAAAGCGATAGCTGTAGAGAAGTCATAAGCACTAGCACAGACCAAGAAAAACAACTACGCACCTGACTCTTTCCTCCTGTCGACCGAACACTAACAGATAGCAAATGCAGACGTGTGGTGCTGAGTAGAGTCGCTGAGAGTCGCTATTCGAGGGGATTCCGCAACTTGAAGGCTTGCGAGAAGGTTGCGAGCAGGCTGACGTTCTGTTGAAGGAAAATAGATAAGGTCGGTCCGGGTCGGTCGCGTCAAAACTGACATGGACCAAACAAACAAGTCGGGCCTTCTCAGCTCTAATAGACTTGACTTCGTTTCACAATGACGACCATCATCTTCAAACCACAGCACTTGGGGAACATATTGTACTGCCGCTTTTGCTTTCCACTCCGACCATGCAAGGCGAAACATAAAAATCGATCAAGCTACATAGACAGAGCCAGTAGCATGTCAAAGTGGACGATAAACATAAACGTGCAAATTGCCTACACACCTAGTTCATCTTCGTCTGTCATATAATTGCGGAGGCGATCTCGACCACCAAACTATGATTTCATGGAAGCTTTACGGTTGCCGTAGGCTGTGCTTCGAGGTCCTTGGCAATATCCTGAAGACCCTGAAAAACGAAGTTAGAAGGAAAAGAGAAATCACAACCAACTCACCACGCTCTACCATATCCAGTGGCCCTCGACGAGTACCAAATCCTGGAGTCCTAGAATACTACCCAAAGATGTGTTACCTCGTGACAACACAGTAAAAATAGGCGACATACCTTCGAAAAAGAGACTTGGACTACACAAACGTAACAGCCGTGATGGTAGCATTGACAATCGTTTGGCGCATCCTAGCCAAGCGAGGAACTTCCAACGATATGCCCGTTTGATTACTCCCTCCCCATAATCACCTCCTCATCCCGTCCATACACAACGACTCGCATCCCATCTCAGTCCAATTTGAGACTCCCCGATGCGCGTCGGCCCTTGGTGGTTTGAATAAGCGGCATTGGGGGCGATTTTTGTGGCGACCAAGGAGGCTGCGGAGGTGTATCGCATAGGCACGTCTGATGAGCTGGTCGCCATAGACGGAGAAGATTAGCCAACAGCCATGCCCTTGAATGGCTCTGCACTCAACGTGTCCGGCGTCGAACTAGGTGGTTTTCGTCTCCTCGAAAGCGGCTGATCGTACGGGCTGAGTCGGCGACAAATCGTGGGCCAGGTGAATCCTCCGTCCTGAGAATCGGAGACGTTAAGGACAGTTTTGCGAATGCGTCTGTTGGGCTCAAGGGTGATGGCGAAGTTGGCATCCGAGCTCGGCCTTTCCACTTCTTGGGTGTTACTACCCCTCCTCGCGCGCCTTATTCCGCCCTTTTCTCCGCCAGCAAGGCCTCCTTCGCTTCCTTTTTGCGTCACCTCGAGTACACAGTCCGTCCTATTATCACATGAGCAAGACATGAGTACTCCCTCATAGCATTGGTAGCAGGTACGGTACTAAGTTAAAATGTAAGCCTTAGTCGCAAAAATACTAAAAAGACTTACCCGAAGAATCAAGTCAAAGCGTGTTCACTCTGCGGTCGAAATGGCTTCCGGTTGCTCAATATACGAAGTGAGCCCAGCAGCGACCTATGGCCATAGAAAGCTGGAGGTAAATGAGTACCGGCACGGACCGATGAAAACTACTACGTACCTGGTTCTTTCCTCCCAAGGCCCGCACAACCGAACACTCGCAAACGGATTGTATAGCAATACAAGATGGGGAGACATGTTGCTTAGCAGAGTCGATGTCTAGCTGTGAGTTGCCATTCGATGGTTGAATTGTACTTGGTGAACAATGAGACGACTCGGACCACGCTTGAACGTGAGGCCTGACGTACACAATCACATGATCCGTATGTCCCAAAAATTTACGAGTCCGAAGAATGAGGTACTCGTTCTTTACTCCTGCTTCCTCTTTGATTTTTCGTCTGCCATTTAAGCTGTCGCTTTTGATCCTAACATGTGTAAATAGTCTCTTTCAAGCTTCATCATTTTGTCGTCGTCTTCTCTGTCTCTGTGTTTATTAATGCAGATTTTCTTCTAAAATATTATATGTGCTATATAAGATATTTATAAGTGGTTATACAGTGTTCTCCAATGCTGCACGAGAGTTTGTTTTCAGTCCCTCGTAATAAATATATGCAAATAATGATTTTTCGGGTAATTCGGGCGACGAGTCCGAAGAATTGTCCGAAGTTTAAAAAGACTGTCGATTTCCCTTGATTGCCGATCTTCTCTAATCTGGCGTGGACGCAGCAGGGTACTCATAATGTCCTGTAGTGTTGTCGATTGATTGTTTTAGGTTTCTGATATTATTGACTGGGAATAAACGGGGAAAAATATCCTTTCTTTATTCGAGGCGCGTGGCTGTTCAATCGCGTACACTGTAGCAAGTTATAAGTCTGACATCGTTGAGAAACGGTATTTTAGTTTTTGGATTCTTAATGAGCACAATGAATGACTGTCTTCATTTGTGTGAGTTCGAACTTCGCGTGCGTTTGTCGTGTTAATCCTACTCACACATTCAGACAAAACTGTTGTTGTCGTCTACGATTGTGATATTGAGATCGATGGACGTATTCGGCGGTGTGGCTGGTCCTGGACTTGACATCGAGGATGCTGGACACTTAATTATAATCGTATTGAGGACATGGAGACGAGGACATACGTGTATCAGCTCTCGATGTATATGCTATTTTCCCTCTGTTTATGACTTATTCATTGATAATAGAATCTTTAGCTACTCACCTCTTTGCTTGAAGATTCGCTGTAATTTCCCTTTTATGACTTTCCATCCCTTTCTGTACGGGTGATAATGCCAGGCAAGAACGGATAGCAGGTCGCAGCGTCAGCGTTTTAGATGTTTTCCGTTTGTTTTTCTACACGCACTTTAATCTTTGTAGGGTAAGGAATTGGCGTGTGCTTGGTGGCATCTAAGTATTATTCTGTAAAATAAGTCTTTTTGATACATATGTAAGTGTTGATATACTTGCCTTGAAAATGGGTCCCTTGATCTGAAGTTGTGTTGCTTGTGAAGGTTGCGAAAAAGGTGGGAGGACCGTGAGTATTGGTTGCTGATCAAGTTGGCGCATGCGCGTAACTTTAAATCCGTAGTTAACCCACATCTTCTAGTTCGATCCTCATCTACGAATACCATGGTGCTATTACTTGCGTGCTCCGAAAGAGCGGGTAATCGATCATGATCTTCCCTCTTTCTCCACTACGCGACCTCGCCAATCAATCATTACTGTCTTCGTAGGCTGCTTTCTCCGCTGTTGCATGGCGGTGTCGATCTAATGTGCTTTTTAGGCCTTGTGACAAGTTACCGGTGAAGAAGCTTTGTAAGGAATGTCGCAATGCGAGGAATGGAACAGGGGAACATCGTTTGCGAATAAGTCTTGAGGGCTCCGGAGGGATTATTGATGAGCGGGGTCCTCGAATGTTGACCGGAAACAACGCGTCGTCTTTCTGCTGGCAAGACATCAACGCAATGAAGGAGGAGCACGAGCATGCAGGGTACCGACAGCGGCTATATCTGCGAGCATAGTCCAAGAGCAACTACAAAGTATATTTGAGATTGCGCCTTCCCGAGATCTGTTCATCACTCTCGAAGCATTAGGCGGCGACGACCAAATCGAGATACGCAAAATTCGTTTGACGTTCTGTCTCAAATCGTCAGGTATATTGGTACAGCGGCACGGTGGTCGTGGTCCTAGAAGTCTACGCGACCGAGAACGAGACCCTTGTAATTTTCAATCTCTTTGACTCCCGTTCGTTGCTCCTCCGCCCACGCGACACTCCATTCCTGCAACTTGCCCTCTTCACGGTCTCCAAGTCACCCTTAGTTTGAACGCGCGCTCTCCAGGTGATCGAAGAAGACATAGCACGTCAGCCTACCCGGCGGGCGTTCGGACTGTTCATTGAAAATAATGAAGTGTGGTCGACGGGGACGGACGGAGAAGAATTAACGAAGGTAAGCTTTTCCAATACAATGCCGTTGGTCTGCTAACCAACCCTTAGTCATCTACTGAAGTACAATACCTGTAGTGCCGCGGAAAGGTAAGCCATATGTTTTGATTTCCAAGTTCTCACTAACATGATCTTTACAGGTTGCTCAACGTTGGATCTGCACCTACATCGACGAGATCAACAGCAGACGATACACCCGGTTGCGGAACTCTTACCCGTTAGTCCTAGCTGGTAAATCTTCCACACTCAATGTTTGACCTTACGCTGACTTTATTCTACTTCAGGAATTGCCTCTGGGGGGGTCAACAGGCTCGCATTCGATGCCAATGTGGGAACGGCGAGGAATAGGCATCGTACTGGGCTATACAGCCGGCGTTTGACGAGGTAAGAGTGCTGCAAGGCAGCACTATTCAGATACTGATGTCTCGTCATCAGATTTATGAATACTTACCTACAAGTGATTCAAGTTAACAGCTCACCGATCATACTAAGGAGTGGTTAGTAGATTTCGTGTGTTTACGGTCGATTCAGAACTCATCTGGTAAGTCTAGCCGTAAATTTTTATTCATTAAAGCTGACGAGTTTACGAACTTCCTGTAGCTAACAATGTCCTCATTTAAGATCCATCAGTGATGTTACGACTTTAACATAGAACGGGGCATTTGACACCTCCAGGTAAGTGTTGTGTATGACACATAAGGTTTGGATAACGTGCAGTGCCCGTCGTGGAAAATTTGGTACCATCTAGAGTCGACACTAGCACTGGGCTGTGGGCTGTGTCGCTTAGCTCAATGATTATCGATTTGAATGCGCTGTTTTGAGGGCCATCCTCGCATAGATTACTGGTACGTGGTAAATGTAAAGGTTACAATACCTTACGAGGTCCTTTAACCGAAGAGCTACACACGCCAACGGGGTGTATTGCGAGAGAGAGAGTCAAAGATACAAGCAGTAAGGTAAACGTAGATGATGAAAGTAAGTGATTCAGATGTGAAAGTCCGAACTCGGAAGGATAACGGGTGCTGCTAAAGACATAGGTAAATAATAGTACATAGATAAAGTCCAGATCCCTTACACCCTCCCCCTTGAGATTGGGCATAGGGAAGCAATCTTGACGAAAGAGTCAAATTACAATAAGATCTTGTTATTGTCCTGTGAATCGAGCTCGTCGGCTTCGCCATCAACGTTCGAGTTTGAGCCTGAAGTAATGGTCATCGCGATAGAGGCCTTGGTTGATGGGGAAGCGGTAGGAGCAGTCGACAAGTGCATGATGGACGGGCCTGCATGAGAAGCATCGCCATCTCCAGCCATAGGTACGTCTGCATCTCCGGTCACGGGCAAAGAAGTTTCAGCTCTATAATCAACGCGATCAGTGTGCTGATGGCTTCTATTAGACTTGCTCGTGGCCTCCTGAATGATTGGGTAATTGAGGAAATGTCTGCGACGTGCTTCGAGGATCGGAATTAAGTCCCATTCAATGGGAGCCGTCCAATAGATCCGAGGAGCGGAATTGTCCTGGAACACAGAGATATCACGGGGGAGATCAAAATGATGGATACGCCATGCGAAGTCGTCCAGGGCCTTGTAGGCACGAGTACGGAGGGTACCCTTAAAGCGCCGAGTAGCTGCAAGAAGTAGCTCTCGGCCATAAGGCTGGATATAACAGATGTGGGAGTACTTGACTCCGCATTTAGCAAGGTGAGTAACGATGTCAAACTGAGAGGCTCGACTGATGAGGGAAAGAGGAAATGGAACCAACTTTTCTGAGTCTGCAATGGTAAGATGTCGATCACGGCAAATGTCTGAATATACAATGGGATGGACCAGCACGCTAGCGAGAGCGATGGCAAAGCCATGCCGATTAACTCGGGTTGCGTTACTCGGAATGATTGATTGGAATAACAGATACCCAGCCAGGGTACGGATATTGACAGATCCGGTAGTCGTGACAGATATACCAGGGTAATGACGTTCCGTGCCATGGAGGAAGATGAAGCTTGCCCACAATTGAGGGTCAAGACAAATATCCTTGGGTGCAGTAACCTTCACAGGAGGAGGAGGGAGCAGAGGTAAGTCCCTGCCATTATTCCCATCCTGTGTTTGAGGCTTTAAGTCAGGAATTTGTCCTAGCCAGCGAGGACGGCGACGATTCCACTGAGTTAGAAGGGTACGTTCACCATCAGTGATGAGAGGATAAGGGGCTGGGCGTCCATTTCGCTCGCAAACGAGGTTAATGGACTGCTTTCGTCGGATAGCAGTGATCACGTTTGAAATTCGATCAACAATGACCCATTTATTAGGAGTGTGGGCCACGTCAATCATTGATGTGGTGTCAACAGCTGTGATAGGAACCGTGCAGGATGGATCATATCCTTGAAGTGATGCGTAATAAGTCTCGTGAAAGGAAAGATCTGCTCTCGGAGGAGAAGGTCGATGAGTTCCTCGTGTATGAGGAACTGCAGGATATGGACGATGGTCGTGCATACCTCGAGACGTGCGGGAATGACGGTCCCAGGTGGCAGCATGTTCTGTGGTCGGAGTGAGGGACTGGAGAGCACTTAGAGATTCCATCCTGGTCTTAAGTAACTCGTTATCATGGCGAAGCTTTACGAGTTCCTGTTGAATATCATGATCTGCAGTATGATTAGGTGCATTCATGAGTGAATCCGAGGGTCCAGAGTCGAGAGTGAACGACTCAAGAGCCGCAGTAATATCATCTGAGTTAGAGAGATTAGTTTTGTTAGTCGGTAAACTGGTATGTTTAGCACGTTGGGGCGCACCGTTAACCATTTCTCCATGATGGTTACAGTGTTTACTGAGTTCGGAGATCGTTTCTGGAGCTTCCTGAACTCGAGTGCACGATGTGGGGTTGGTTAATATGTTACCAAACATCGGAACTGGATTGGAATCTATAATTCCTTCCATCGCAGTAGAAGACGATTTCGGAGCATGGGGCATTGCTGTAGCACCCATATTCGACGTCGTAAAGAATGGGTTACCCTGAGTAAACAGGAAAGGCGCCATAGGAAAGAATGATGGGGCCATAGTTGAATTCGGATAGCCAGTAAAAAACAGCATTCCAGTAGGCATAATCTGGGAGAAATTGCCTGCAAACGAAGGATAGGATGATTTTTGAGGAGTAAAGGGTACCTGTCCCTCCCCCTGAGAAGGATTGGCATCGAGGTTGAAAAAACTCGGAGCAGAAGCAGCCAAAGAGTTGTGGCCTGTATCAGAGTGCTGATAGTTGAAGTGGGTTGAGAAATCGGAGTAGATAGTAATGATACTCTAGCCTGGTGGGTTGTAAGGAATTTATACCCTCTAGAAAGCAGCGGGCATGGACTAGACTTGGATGCGACATCGGTGTGGCGGCGTCGAGTCGGCGTTCGTAAAAAGTAGAGCCGGTACAGCCACTGTACCCTGTCGATCAGGGTAATTTGAATAACCACGTTGTTACTCAGCCATTTTGGTAACACGGGTATCATTTCTTGTCTGTCGCCGTTTCCTAGGCCTAGGACCCTTGTTAGACAATTTTGGCAAGTTCTTTGGGTCTGAAATACCAGCAACAGCCAGGTATTTATCGAGTGCTTTAAGTGCTTTGCACTTAGAGTATGGCTCTACGGTTAAATCACCAAGAGTCCATCGTACATGGAAGAAAAGTGAGTTATTCTTCCATTCATGTCCTTCAATGCATTCAACGAATTCCTCAGCATCATCAGGAGCACCGAAGTCGTAAGGTTCGGGCTTCTTTCTGTCTGGGAATAAAACTGCATCGCTTTCAATGTAGGACCTTAACAAGCTAACATGAAAGCGTGGGTGAATACGACGTTTCACGAGTTCTTCAGGGAGGTCTAACTCATAGGTGGACGATGTGTGGTCTGCCATGAGTACAGTATATGGGCCAACGAATTTAGGTAATAGTTTCGTTGCCCTAGCTTTGGGAAGATTCAAATTCTTCGTTGATAGGTATACCTTCGATCCTTCCTTGATATCAGGTTCAGGAGATCGATGTTTATTAGCCTCGTGAGTCTGGAATACTCGAGAGGCAATAAGGGCATCATGAGCATCATACAGGTTCTGCATGGCTTGGATAGCGAACGCATGGATCCCGGGTGGGACAAGTTTATCATATCGAACCTCTCGCATCATTGAAGGCATATATCCTCCAACAAGTTCGAAAGGTGCGAACCCTGTAGACACATTCGTGCTCGAGTTAAGAGCAAATTCAACGATAGGTACCTTGATCAACCAGTCACGCTGATCAGGACGAATGGAGGCACGAAAAATCTGGCCAATAGAGCGATTAGCTCGCTCTGTAGCTCCGTCTGTTTGTGGATGAAAAGAGGTAGACATAAGAAGCTTTGCACCAAGTAAGCGGTGAAGCTCTTTCCACCATACTGACGTGAATTTGGGGTCACGGTCAGAGACAATCGATTCCGGAAGGCCATGCAGTCGTACAATCTCACGGAAATATATTGAAGACAAATCCGTGGCCGTATTGGAGGTGTGGATTGGGATTAAGTGAACCTGAGATGTCAATCAGCAGATAACTACCCAAAGGTAATTATATCCTTTAACCTCAGGAAACGGACCAATAAAATCCATTCTGATAGATTGCCATGGTCTGGTTGGTATTGGCAATGAATGGAGTTTCCCTGAGGGAGCTCTATAGTTCCCCTTCGACTTATTACAAGTCTCACAGGTACGGCAAAAGAATTCACACATCCCGTAGAGTTTTGGCCACCAATACCAATGACGAATGCAATCCGCCGTTCGTTGGGGACCAAAGTGGCCAACAACCTCATGAGCTTGTTCAATAACAGCTCCACGAAGTGAACGCAATCCCTTAGGTGACTTAGGGAGGCATAACAATTTTTCTCCGGGCTTATACGAGTTTTCCATCTAGATTAATCCTTCCTCAATGAAAAATCGAGGGTGGTCACTAGGAGCCTTAAGGACCTTCGAGAATATAGGATCCGTGGCATATGAAGACTTAATATCCGACACAAAGGTTGGATCCGAGTCCATAGTGGTTTGTAAGTTTTTACCCTTGTCTCGAGAGTCGAAAACAGTAGGGTTAACTTTTGGTAATTGAACAGGTTCGGGTTCCTCTGGTTCCCGAGCGTTCTCCATTTCTTCAGCTTCAAGTTCTCGAGTTTCACGCTTCTCTTTGAGACGTGCAGATTCTCGACGTGTTTCCATAGCACTGAGGTGAATAACCATCTCCTCAGCTTCTTCTTTGCGACCTAAAGGTAGGTCTTCACCGAGTTTATCAATACGAATATCAGCATTGACAAATTCAGCTAGGTGGTGCTGATCTTCAGGAGTATCAGACTCGTAATAGCGTGATAGGGCATCAGCAACTTTGTTAGATACACCCTTCACGTAGGTAATATCAAAATCAAAACGTGAGAGATATTCCATCCACCGCATTTGACGATTTGATAGACGTCGTTGAGTCTTAAAGAACTCAAGAGCTTTATGGTCTGTGACAACATGAATGCGATAACCAATAAGCTTGTCTTCCCACTTCAACAGGGCTTCAAGCATTGCAAGAGTTTCGGTCTCAAAAACACGGTAATTGCGTTGACTATCCGTGAACTTCTTAGACATAAATCCGGCAGGGCGACAAGTCTGCCAGGTAGGACCTTGTCCATACATCGCACCTACACCAGAAATCGAGGCATCACAGATAACCCAGATGGGTTCCGTAATGGCTACATTAATAGGACGAAGGATTGGTACTTTGCAGCACAAATCCTTGATAGATTGAAAGCAGACAGAGTGAAGCGGATGCCAGTAAAATGGCTGTCCGTTCTTAGTCATTTCGGATAGAGGGGCTGTATACGCAGTCACATCCGGTAAGAAATATGCGAGATAATTCACAAGTCCAAGAAACTTCTCAATATCATTATAGTTTCGAGGTTGTCTCCAGTTTCGGATTCGTTCCAGCTTATCTGAATCTGCATGGAGTCCTTTATCATCAACAAGATGTCCAAGACAATCCATCTTCTCAGCGTAAAGTTGAACCTTTTCTGCTTTCATGAAGAGTTTGTTTTCTCGAAGCTTATTGAATACAAGCTTCAGATGTTGTTCATGTTCCTCGACGCTATCACTGTAAATGAATAAGTCGTCGAGGTACACATGCATGAAGACTCCAATATAGTCTTGGAAGATCGAAGTCATGAGCCGTTGAAATGTGGAAGGAGCATTACAGTCTCCTTGCTGCATTACATTGCTCTTGAAGGTTCCGAAGATGGTTGCAAAGGCTGTCTTCCAAACATCGGAGGGGACAACTCGAACCTGCTCATAGGCATTTGAAAGATCAATCTTGGATCGGAGCTTAGCCCGAGCCACGTCAAATCTAATGGTATCCTGGTCTGGAAACGGGGTAACATCCCTTTCCATATTCTCATTGCGTTTCCGACAATCTACAGTGGTTCGGATGTCCGAGCCATCTTTTTTCGGAACACATAGCATCGGAGCAGCTTGAGTAGAGACACATGGTTCCCACCAGTGAGCTCTCTTGTACTGGGCAATCTTTTCCGCCAGTTTACCCTTCATAGAGTCAGGGCAACGAGGTAAGTAATAGTTATATTTTGCCTTATCATTGATCAATGGGATTTCATGATTTACGGCTCGTAATGGAGGTAATTCCTCTGGAATACCTCCCATAATGTCACGACACGATTCCATCCATCTAGCACGAAGCTGAGGGATATCAGCGACCGAAGGAGAGGTTATATCCTTTGTCTTATCCTTGTAACGCTCAGAAGTTGCATGAATTGCTTCTTCAATCGAGATCTTTGGATTTGAATCTTCAATCTCTTTGCTTTGCGATTCGGGAAACCGTTCTCGTGTAAATTCCTGTACAAGTTCATTGACTTCAATTAATTTTTGCCTATTCTTTGGATTCGAGGCATCCAAGGTAAGAGCTTCAGTAACAATTTTTGAAAGGTCTTCCATCGACACAAAGTCTTCCAGAGTAAGTAAGACAGGTAATTGACAGGTTCAATGGAGCTGCTAGTCTTCCACTGTCGTCCTCTTTCTTGATATCCTCTATGGTTGGCGCATAGCGTGACCATGGAGGTTCTGGTACGTCAGAACGAGCTTTATTTATGCTCTGGCCATATAGTCATTTTGACTTAGACTGTACAGTTTTAATTCTCTTGGTTGAACCCTTCAAACCTTAGGTAGTTGAAACTGGTTCTTTGGATTTATTCGGGCGAGGTTTGATTTCTACTTCCTCATCCGGGTCGAATTAGACTTTGTTTGATACACGTTTCGCATATCTACGAGTCATTTCCTTGGTTTCCTCCCCCTCTGAAAGAGTAGGGACTGGAATACGCTGAATACGAATTGTATCGTACTCAAAATCAAGTGATATGCCATGCTTCCGCATGAAAACAGTGCCTAGGACTGCATCATAGCGGTCAACGTTCGCAATATCAAAGTAGTAGTTATCACCCGAGATGGATGCACGAGCATTCCCAAATTTATAGGATGCATTACAACCATGGCTAATCTGCGAGCGACTTCCTTTAGTTCCAAGTTGAAGCGTGATGGGCTTCGTCAACTGGAATATGTTTAATTTTGCGAGACGAGCAAAATCTGGACTGATAGCATCGGCGGTACTCCCAGAATCGAAGAGAGTAAATGCTTCACGTCCATTGATAGTGACTAAAGCAGCAAGGCAACGATTTTCAGCAGCCGTACGCTTTGGACGAGATGCAGTCCGAGGTGCATGGATTTTTGTGGGCTCAAGTGTTGGTCGATATCCTTTGATCTTTCCATCACTTGTCTGCTCTGTTTGAATTGCCCGAAGGTATTCAGGGAAATCCAGGACATACTCGTCATGAGATTCCATTCCATCGCTATCAGAGTCCTGAGATTGAGGAGGAGTCTTCGCTAGATGCATCATGATCCATGGTATGGTCATTCAAATGCTCAGAGAAGTGAGATATACCCTGATGAATTCGAGTAATCATTATCTTCTTCAAAAATAAACCCCATGCGTTCATCAGTAGTACCCTCATCGGATGTATACTGACTTCCACCATAAGGGTCTTCAGCATCAGAATTATTGGGAGACTGGTGCCCGGAAGAATTTCCAGGTTCGTCTTCTGAGAGGTTAGTCCAATCTGGTGGGTTTTCAACCTCTGTATGATACTCCTCATCGGAGGATTCATGATCCGATGCTGAATTCACAGACGAATTGTCTGGAGAGATTGTCATCCACAATGTGGTACAATTTCTCTCCTGGAACTTCGCTTTCCGTACTCCGGACATGAGGGATCATTGGAGTAATGTCCCTTCTTCCCACAGCCGTAGCAAGGTAGGGATTTTCGAGTTAGGATTCGATTTTCCCTTGTCTTTAGAGTGGTGTGGGTGCGATGATTTATGCCCTGAAGATGGACGATCCTTCTTGGGCTGATCACGAATTCGCTTGAATTTTTCGTAGCCAGGATTGGGTCGAGTGCTATGGCGCTCACCCTGAACCTTCTTGAATTTACGAGGTGATGGAGAATGCCTCTTCTTTGCAGATTTGGCATTCTCCTTCGATGACTTACGAAGTTGAGATATATGGTCTTGCCGTTGTTGACTGTAATATCGTTCTGCACGGATACCCTTCTCAACAATAAGAGCACGCTGCATAATATCATTCACAGTCGAAACCTCGGCAGTGAGACCCATGCGAGTGACTTCCTGATGAATATTTGAAGGTAACGAGATCATTAGACATCGTCGGAACGTATAGATGTCTGGTGGTGAAGGCATCATGTTTGCAAATCGTAATAAACTCGCAAATAGCTGGCAAACACCACCTTCAAAAGTGTACTGAACACGCTCAAAGTGTTCGTTAACAGCATATAATGATGATTCATGGATAAATCGATGGTACAGACCGTTAATTACTTCCATGAAAGTAGGAAAATCTTCACCATTCGCATTATTGGTATAAGCGATAGGTGTGTCTTCAACTACATTGTTATACCACGTACGGGCATCTCCCCCAAAAAGGTTGCAAGAGTGCTCGTATGCTGCATATCAATGGCAGAAAGCTGCTGTCCACCCCATTCATCTTCAGTATAAACAGGGCCACAAATATTTGTGATCTTCATCCATCTAATGATAGAGAAGGTCCACTCATCGAATTCTATAAGGTCAGAGCTTCCCTCATATTTTTGGGGACGAGGAATACTCTGTAAAGATGTTTTCTGGACATTAGAATCCAGTCCTCGTTGAACACGCAAGAGATTGCGATTCACGAGGCGTTCATAGCGCTGAAAAATTGCAAGCATAATTTCAACCTCAGATCTCATAACAGGGAGATACTCGAATATCTCCTCGTTGTTGAAACGAGGTTCCTGAGATGTGAAACGGACTTCCTGAAAATGAGCAGGAGTCGGTTCGCGAGCTTGTGGGTTATCAGAGCGTGACGAATGTCGGTTACTGGAACCACTACGATGAGATCCTGGTCCTCCAGGTGGTGGCGGAGGAGGAGGATCGTTAGGAGGACGACCTGCACCTAGATTACGAGACGAAGTGGGACTATCCACATTAATTGGGCTTGCACGATTCTCCGAATGTGGTGCAGTTCATTGAGGAGGTGTTGGATTTTGCTCTCGATGTGAGGTCGAGTCCTGGGCTTGTTGTGGCCGACGAGGTTGGTTACGAGCCAAAACAGAGTCGAAGTAACTAGCAGGCTCGCGAAGATCATAGTGATTCGACTGCGCGTTCACAGGAACGGCCTGGGGTCGAGGTGAAGGCACTAGAGGTGTAGCACCATGTTCTGGACGATTAGGACGCTGTCGAGGCGGCGTTGGTGGATCTGGGTGACGATTAGGAGGGTTACGACCATTAGGTGGTGGATTCGGAGGATCTGGAGTGGAATCCTGCGAATCACTAGAGGATCCGTCGTCTCCTGGATCAAGATTAGGTGCAGCAGCTCCTACACGAGTCCTAGGCTGTGGTGGAGCCTGCAATGGTCGTGGCCTCTGTTCTTCACCAGGAATACTGAGTATTTGGCCTAGTACTAGCCTCAGGTCTTGTAGGTTGGTCTCGAGGTCTCGAGTCACCAAACTGGAGAGGGGGTTCATCCTTCTCGACCTTAGGATGTCGAGATGGTGGCCGATGATGTGGGGGAACATATCTACTCTTCCTAGGAGTAGGAGGGACGTCGTCCTCATCATCAGCATCACTATCATACTCACCCTTAATTTTAGAGATCAGAGCCTTGTTCCGCTCTTCTATAGGGTCAACAATAGTTTGCGACAAGGCTCGCGATACAGAGGATCGTACGTGAGCAGTGGGAACACCGGTTGGAGGCACAGAGGTGTTTTCCGGCGGTGGAAATCGAGCTCGAAGAGGGTTGTACACCTCCGAGCGTATATGCGGAAGAAAAATCCGAATGCCTGGAAAATCTGGATGAGTAGCATCTCCATACAGATCAATATGAACACCCTGGTCAGGGACCATGGTTTGTCCATACAATAGCATGTCCTCATCATGCAATTGTTGAAGTAAACCTCGATTGAAGACCTCGCGTCGAGCTTCATTCAAGGCATCAACTGTTTTTTGAGTTTCCGAACTATGTGAAGTCGGGACAGTGGGTGAAGATTCACCTTTAATAAGTGGCGTCGATAGCCGAGCATGGGCATGACGACATCGTGCATAGTTGGAACCAGTCTCACCTGGCTGTTGAGGCAGGCTGAGATTATCGACAGCAGCAGTTGATGTTCGCACTGTACTCATCTGTGCTATGGTGATAATCACCTAACTCAGGTCTCACATTAGTGGGAATGGGATTGAATTGCCCTGGAGGCGTTCAAATTAGCAGCAAAAAACTTATTAATTGCTAGCCTAGGTATACCTGTGGAATACAGTACCAAGGGTAGTCTGACGTTGCGTCGAAAGGGAGATAAGTCCATCCTATAGCGTCGAGCCGCGAGACGAACTCGTTCCTCGATAAATCGGTTTACATCCTCAGGCGTAGCCTCAGGTGGATCAGGGAATACAACCGGCATAGCTTCCCCGGAAGAGGTGACTTGCGGGGAGTCAGTCGACGTTGGAGGAGTGGTTACAGGTGATACCAACGCTGGGAGCTGTTCACTCGTAGCATGAGGAGTAGATACTGGAGGAAAATGAAATGAATCTGTAATTTCGTGGGCATAGGCAGGAGGAGCCGAGCCACGAGACTGGCCGTATGCACCCATAGCTCTTAGCTGTCGTCGACTGAGCCAATTCTTGCTCTAATACGTCGTCTGGGGCAGTGGTGGATGGACGACATGTGCGTAGAGTGACTGGATCTGGCCACAGATGGGGCGAATGAGTGAGGAGGTGAGCGAGATTCTGAGAACGTCGCTGGCCGCAGATGTCCGATGATGGACGTCTCCGATGCGGGAGTACCTTCAGGCAACGTGATGATACCTGATGGTCGATACAGCACGTTAGAGTGCACGAGGAGGGCCGGCGCAGTGGTCGGCGGTATGGAACTCGCATTTCCAGTGGACAATGCAGGTATGGGGGCAGTCAGTAGCGATAACGACGCACGCTCGGTGGAGGGCATGTAGTTCGGCAACTGCTGAAGGATTTCGACAGCTTGTCGAGATTCGGGTCGAGTGGTTGGTTGCTGCATGGCAGCAGAGCTCTCCGAGGCTGAGCGTTGAGCCATCGAAGAGAGAAGTCGCAGTAAAAAGTAGTTCTGTAAGCGTTAGCCTACTGTGGTTCTCCACAGCACAATACACAATGAAAGATGTGTAAAAAAGTGTAAAGGTTACGATACCTTACGAGGTCCTTTAACCGAAGAGCTACACACGCCAACGGGGTGTATTGCGAGAGAGAGTCAAAGATACAAGCAGTAAGGTAAACGTAGATGATGAAAGTAAGTGATTCAGATGTGAAAGTCCGAACTCGGAAGGATAACGGGCGCTGCTAAAGACGTAGGTAAATAATAGTACATAGATAAAGTCCAGATCCCTTACACTGATGAATTGATTGCTGATGTCAAGGAAGAGACGAGGGTTTATTTCACAAAGTTATATGATCAGCCTCCCCGAATGTGTCAAAGTCTTGGATGGATACACCATCAGTCGCTAGGATCCGAGACAAGGTCGCAAATAAACCCTTCCAATGGCCAAAACAGGCATCGATTTCCATCCTTTTCTACGCAGGTGATCATGTCAGGAAAGAACAGATAGTAGGTCGTACTGTTAGCGACCTTGACGTCATCTTACATTTGTTTCTCTTTACTCACTTTAATCTTTTCTGTAGGGTAAGGAATTGTTGTGTGCTTGGTGGCATCTAAATATCATCCTGTAAAATGAGTCATTTTTATACATATGTCAAAGCTGATATACTTGCTTTGAAGATGGGTCGTTCGATTTGAGGTTGTGTTGCTTGTGAAGGCTGTTGAAGGGTTGGGAGGACCGTGAGGATTGGTTGCTGATCAAGTTGGCGCATGCGCATAGCTTTAAATTCATGGTTAACTCATTTCTTCTAGGTTGATCCTCACCTACAAATGCCACAGTGCTATTACTCGCGCGTTTCAAACGAACAAGTAGTCGGCCATGACTTTAACTGCCTGCTCTTCCGAACGGAACGTCTTTTTTAATTTTCGTTCAATAGACATGGTAGTTCCGGGAAACCTCAACCTAGACTGTGATGATGACACATGGGTGCAATACTGTCGTCGCTGCTCTCACAGAGGGAATCTTTTTGGAGAGCTGTGATGGATCTAGGCAAGAGGATATTCTAACGGGTGATCCTGTGAACTGACCCATCTCCTCATTTCCTTTTTCTACCAGCACTTTGGCAGTGAAGAAACGGGTAAAGCTCACTGACCCCACTCACATGAGTACATGGAATAAGGAACCTGGAACGTCTAAAGTGGAGCATACACCATCGGTCAAACCGAAGACGTCCACATCTACGAAGGGAACGGCCGTCGTCTCTCCTTCTGGTCCTTTTGTTCCTGTAGTCGATGGCGCCACTGTCTGCGTTGGGGTGGTGGGCATGCTGCGACCCTGGGTGAGGAGCTGAATGATACCTTCGCATGTCTGGATATAAATCAGCTTTGCATCGCTGTCGCTGTCATTGATTTTGGGGAGGTGATGGGTGTTCATGATAAGGAGGTCATTGAAAGGGAGGAGGTGCTTACTTCCCAACTCACCGATGTTTGTACCAATGTTTGTACTTATATTGGTGATGTTATTGCGACTCATACTCAACCCCCGTTCCTTACAGATTACTTCACAGCTCTTGGTGCAAGGGTTGATTCATTCATGCAGTCGACAGAAGGTTGTTTTGCTTCTTTTTAGACTGTCTTGAATGATGTAACAGACCGTATCATGGCGATTCCTACAGCCACTGTGGCTCCACCCGCATCTGTTATATCGACCACTCAATAATCGTTTACAGAGCCTTCGCAGCCTGCGAATATGGGCCAACCTTTTGTTACTATCGTTTCTCCACCTTTCTCCATTCCCACACCTTCGTCTGGTCCAGTTGTGCAGCAGGCGATCACCGCTTCTCTATCAGGTCCAGCTGTGCTGCAGCCTGCGATTATTGCTCCTTTACCAGTCCCGGCCGTGTTGATGTCAGTTATCGTTGTTCCTCCAGCTATTACAGGTGTATACTCTTCACAGCCAGTAGCATCTGTGCCTCAAGAAGTGGGCTCGTCTTAGCTTGCTTATGCACAAGGAACAATGTACTGCGATTGATCAAGTTCATGCCAATATGCATTGCCTTCTACAGACTTTTCTACCCTGTGGCTTAAGTTACAGTGTCTTGGAGTCGGTCATCGGGTATGTACAATCATACAACATCCAGGATTTCAAGCATTTTGTTGACCCGTCTCAGCGTCTCACTCAAGTGTTTGTGAATAATGAAGCAATTGAATTGTCAATCAAAACTGTTTTTCCAAGAGTTGTAGAAGGGCAAGACTACTGTTTCTCAACTTACAGCGCATTATGCTCGTTCTGTATGGTGGGAAACACGGTTATTTTTGGTCATAAAAGAGAAGGACGACCAGCAACAGGAGAGATAATTCAAGCCGCAATTAGCTAGGTCCGCTGAAATTTGTTTCACTGTTCTGAAGGAGAAGGCAAGTTGTTTGAACTGATTTTGTTGGTATTAGTTAAAGTTTAGTAGCGGAATTGCAAGTCGACTTCTGTTCTACAAGAAGCTCATTATTAGCTTGAAGTATTATAATGAGCAGTACATATCCGGTTATCTTTAGGCGTAATCGTATCTTGATTCACTGAGATTTGGTTCAGCTATCCAAGCATCTTAGATCAAACGGAAGCTACCAACGAACTTGAGTTTTTTGTAGATGATAACGAGTACTTGGAGCGATACCACCTGCATATCAGTACCCTTGTTGTTCTCAAGTTTTTTTGGTGTTAAATGGGAGTAACAGTTTAATACAGATCTTTTAATCCTCGGATCTCATACGTAGTGATGAGCCTCATGGCTCTGTACGTTTAGAATCCACGCATTTTAAGCAATATAAATAATTCTATAATATGAGCTTGACCCCTTAATGAGCACCATTACATCCACGTTTAATGGGCGACGCATCTATGACAAGTTATTATTCATCCCGTCTTAATATGCCAGGCACTTTGATCGTTGATCTCCCATATATGGCTATTCTGATCATATCACACAGCCATTTGGGCCACACGATAGCATTTCTAATTACGGACCGCATTTACTATGATGCATGATTCCGTCAAGTCATAACTACGGCAGGATAGTTCGATTAGTCCTGCAATGATATTGAGGAAATGAGGCTTGCATTTGACAAGTGAACGGTGACGTCATGTGAGACATTTTACTGCTGGTATTTTGAGGGGTCAAATACCATTTGTGTGTTTATCTCTGTATTTGATTCGCAAATTTACCTAAGAAAATACTGAATGAAAACCTGACTGTTTTTTTAATGAAATACTCTTAGGTATCTTTCATTCAAAAAACAGTCAGGTTTTCATTCAGTATTTTCTTCAGGTAAATTTGCGAATCAAATACAGAGATAAATACACAAACCCCCTCAAAATACCAGGCTTATCACAGCATTGTTTTGGTCCTTTGTAGAAAGGTTTGGTAAAGAATTAGCATGGTTGATAAGGAAGATAGATCGAGGAGTGGCTTCGATGGTGAGCGTTATGCGCTGAAGATTGACTTTGAGTGAGGAGATGGCTGCATATTCTTTTGGAAAGATTACTTTGTGATGCTCATGTTTTTGTATTAGACCTCAAGGGCTCCTATGAGCCTATGGGTGGTATGTAACAGCCATTCTACAGATGGCTATCATACACTTCAAGAACCAATTGTTGGCAACCATCTTTGGTCAGGTCCTTCACATGGCAACTGAACGGTTGGATGACTATACAAAGGACTTCCGTGTCAAATTGCAAATATGCAGGAGGTTTTGACAGGGCTCTTTTGCATGGATTGAGGACGTTTTTAACCTTACCAGGAGCTCTGGCCGATAAATTCGGAGAGTCGCCAAACCCTGGAGGAGTGGAAGCATGATACGATATGTTCTTCTCGGGCTCTGATTCTGCTGTAAAGAACGTTCGGTAGTATCTCTCACAGAAACTATATGGTATACAGTATGATATTGTTGTATGTACAAGACTCTCCTCTAGGGCAGGCATTACAACCGAGTGAACAACGCTGTTGAAAAGGTGCTACGGGTGGGATTCGGCCTTTTTTTGCGGATCAGTTCGTTGAGACTTTAGGGCAAGATGTGATCGTTGGAATGTGTATGAAGGGTGAGGCGAATGGTGCCTTTGTGGTTGCCGAGGCGTTGAGTGGAGGTAACGCAAAGTGTTTAGTGAAGGGTTGGTTTGGCGTCAATGTGGTCAAGGAGATTGAGGACGGTGACATAAATGATAAAAATATGTTATTAGAGAACATATGCCAGTTGTAGACTCTGTAATTATTTCGACAGTCGGAGGTATCCTGGATGATATAAGGTCATTTTGTCTGGAATGACGATATAACCATGGGATGCCTCACTAGCGTTTTGAAGAGAGTGGGGAGCGTATGGGGTGGTAGCCAGTGGGTATGCGAGTGCAGGAAAGAACACTGAGACTTTTGATAGTAAGGCATTGGAAACAAAATATAACTACTCGACAGCGAAAGGGGAGTGTCTAAAATGCAAAGTCGGGTACTTATTGAGGACATGAAAAAGTTAGAAAGAGTGTGGTAGACATTTCCAGCGTTAAATAAAGTAAAAAAGAGAGAAAGAGCGAAAGAGAGTAAAAATGAAGGGGGCAGGCGTAGGCGATGAGTAAGCAGGCACATAGTCACGTGACACCAACATACACAGCCACAATTAGAGCTCAGGTTGCAGACCGAATCCTGTATACACAGGACTCGGAATCCTCAGTGAGGGAATCGAGCTCGGAGGTGGTGGAAACGACTTCGTCCGTGGCAGTAGGGCTAGTTGAAGTGAATGCTGGAATAGGACCGTGCGTCTCCAAAACAGAATTGCCAGGGAATGAGACCTCTTGGATTTCGACGATGTGTGCATCGAGGAAGGGGTTGTTCGAGAACAACAAGGACTTCGGGTACGGAGAATTATGAACTATATCTGACATAGAAGAGTCGTAAAAGAAGTGAAATTCAGACGCGCGAGGGATTGCGGTAAGTGAATCTTTTTCAAGTTGTTGCATCCTTCTGATGTCAGCATACACAGTAGAATGGTCTGGATCTGTGAGGGCAAGCATCGCACGCGTATTCCAAGGTGTGCTGGGAAGAGCCTTGTCGTCACCGGGATAAAAGACCGTTTTGTAGGTACGAGAAGTGGTGTTCCCTGGCATAAATTGGAATCGCAAATAGCCTGTGTTAACTGGGCCCGACTTTGGCTTATCCTCGCTCAGCTGGTCGACTTCCTCATCATCAGACGTTGGGGGACTGTATGACATCCCGGTCACTTTCGATTGTAAAGGCTCAGAAACGGGTACAGCAGCATTTGGCTGTACTACATGGCCAGCCTCTTCATGTGCACCATCGAGATGCATTCTGCGACGGGGGCTATCATGTACTGAGGCGTCGCTGTTCGTTGACGCAGTAGAGGCACCAGACATCCGGGATCTGTTATTTCCGTGGATTAAGTCAAAGGATGCTTCGTTCATTGGCAAGTCATCGATGGGGCTGGGTAAACTTCTGGATGCTGCTGCATACTCTTTGTTGGTTGAGGGTCCGAATACCTTATCGCTGTGGGAGCTGTTCAGCAGGGATTGATTAGAGTCCTCGTAGGCACTATGAAGTACCCTATCGTGAGTATAGCCTTCGTTGCGCTCTTGTGTGCCGTAGGTCATCCTCGACAACATGTAAAATGGGATCAAAGTTGAAATCCTGTCGTTAGGATAGTTATCATCTGATAGTGCCTCGTCCATTAGTGAGTCATAGACGGGAGGTGGCAGATCTCTGGAAGTCCCTCTAACATCATGATGATCCTTCTCTCGCGAAGCCTCCTGAGGCTGATGAATGGGCCGTGATCGCCAGGGTCGATGATGATCAGAAAATCCGCGGAAGTTGGGGGCAAGCGGCGACGAGCTACTTCCAGGAGGTGTCGGCAGCTGGTGTCGACTAAGACTCGGAAAGTCTTCGTGAAGCGAGCGATAGCCTTCATTCTCAGGTGATGTGGCTTCATACCGATACGGTCGGTGGACAGGGGGTAAACGAAGATCTTCACGATCAAGGACTAGCGGGGGCAACTTGCGGTCACGATTAACGAAAGAATCATGAAGCCTGACAGACCGACGCCCGCCTTCCACGTCCAGCACATGCGGAGGAGGGCTGGAATGGCGACTATCGTGCCGGTGGATTCTGGTCATGACATTTTCCTCTGGATCATTACCCAGGAGTGTGCCAGGAGGAGATGTCGAGTCGTCTCGGAAGTTCTCTGGTAGTTGCTTATCGCTGTCTTGTGTGTAGCGTAGCAGCGGCCTGGATCGAAAGTAAGGCTGATATCTTTGTCTGTTATCCGCGTTTGAGACCCGCGACAATCGGTCAGAGTGGGAATGAAGCAAGAGCTGCCAGAGATTCTCGTTGGGTGTTGAAGAGCACCAAGCTCGCTGATGCGCCGAGTGGTCATCACTGTGGGAGATAGGCTGACGCCATGGGGAGTAATCGCCATCGATAGGCGGGACGTGTAAAATGTGATTTGAGGCTCCAGAGGAACCATTCGAGGTGGACGGTGAGAGTCGATTCGCAGCATGGTACTCTGCTCCTGACGTTCATCTCGACTTCAGCACTCATTATTGAACCGCTCGTCTCCCTAGCAGATTGTCAGGGATATGAGGCTTCAAGGAAAGGATACCTCGTTCAGGTTTTTGGGGGGTCCAGTGTCTGTGGAAGAAAAGACATGCTGGTAGGGGGGCGCAGTTCATTTTGAGCTATGCTAGGGGTTTGACGTGAGTACCGTTGTCGCCTGAATGAAAGAGAAAGATGGAAGGAGTTATTTCACCGGGCCTCGATGCGCCCCATAGGTTCTTCTGGAGGAGCTTCATATTTTCCTCCAGGACAGGTGCACCGATACCTGCTCAACGATGCCAATTAGTGCATTGTGGCACAGCAGTATATGTACTCACTGGGTTGCTTGTACGTCCCGCCGCTAGGAAGTGCATCTACCAGTTGCTTAATGCCCCTCTTATAAATTGACTTAACCCGGCATGCCAGACATAAATCATGTCTAGGGAGTGTCTGTGAGGGTTGAAAAAGTCAACCAAAGATATCGTTATTAATCGTTAAGCACAACCACTAATTAGTAGGGGTCTTCGTGAAGAGAGCAGTGCGCACTGACTGTCATTGGGACTTGACAATGTTCTATACTAGCGAGGAGGCGACGGATATGTGTGTGGTGAGGTGGGGAAGGCAGAAGTTCAAACCAGGAGCGATTATTCCATATTTCCAATTTGGCGAGGACACATCGGTTGGGTCAAATCCTGTTGTTTACGTAGCACGTATCACAACTCTTTCTTCCTCTTTATCAAGGGAGACTGACATTTCCCCTGGACAAACCCTGGAAGCTATTATTTTTGCTTCCATGTAGACATGGTCCGTCCAACGATAACGGCATCGCCAAATCATTCAGGTTGAAGAATTCCAGAACACAAAGAGTGCGGAGTTGATATCGACGCCCTGTGAAGCAAATTCGACGAATGTGATAACAGACATGACTTAGTTCCAGTGCCGCTGGTGTTGAACTAGGAGTCACGTATGAATTCATGAATTACCCCTCTTGGATGCGATAACACACGATAGTCTAGTCAAACCAGTATATCATCAATGAGATAGGTGCCTGTCTGTCACGGTGATATTTCCACTAATTCACGACAGATTGGAAGGACACAGACCGAGAGATGTGTTCTAAGATATTAACCTTAGTGAAAAGTTCGAATTGAAAATCACCCCCTTGAACATGAAATTTTGAGCCGATTTGGGACTTCGCTAACTTGCTAGCTTCTAAT